AAAAAAAAAAAAAAAAAAAAAAAAAAAAAAAAAAAAAAAAAAAAAAAAAAAAAAAGAATCGATCGATCGCTACCTGTTGTTAATCGTTACACACGTACGTTATGTTCGAATATTATTACAGTGATGATTTCAGACAGGCAGCCTTGGGTGTGCACCTGCCACCACATTAGCACCGATTAAATGAGAGAAAGATTACAACGAAATTTTCGATTACATATATAAGTTAACGGTGGTATTATTGTACCGATCATTGATCGATCTTTAGTGATTAATGTCCCATCAGCAAGCAGGTGTCAGAGGCTCATGATTATTGCATGTGCCATACAGGACAGATATCTGTAGTACAATTCCAGGCAATTTTTTTTTAAAGAAGCATATTATTATTATTATTAATATACGCTATTGTAAACAGATCTCTCTATATTCGTATGTATATATATATATTAACGTAAGTTGTGGATCTCTCAAATAATAACTGGAGATTCGACGAGGAATTCACAAATCGAAAGTTATACAAGAAAACATGAGAAATAAACGGATTAAAAATTTTTTTTTTTTTTAATTTTTACCGAGATAGATCACGTATATTGCTCTTTTATGTTTTTGAAGAAATAGACATAAAAGTGGTGCATCCAAAATTTGATTACGAATAAGATCTGTCGAGTTAAAGAAATTCATCGCAATTTCGATTTTGTCCGCGATTTATTAATTAAACATATATTTTCATCGTAGAACCTTCCAATACTGATTGATCCGTGACTTGTAAAATATTTTTTATGTACATACGGATTTATGTGTGTATGTATAACTATGGGCGCGAATTAAATCTCGCATGAATAATTTCTTTTTTTGCCAAAATAATACAAACCGGAGTATATAAATAAAGTAAGATTAATAAATCCGCGATTGCTTTTGTCTTTACATTAATAAAATTAATTACATAGTTATAAAATTAGAAACTATTTTGAAAAAGGTGATATCTCTATTCTAAATTTTCTATTCTATAAATTTATAAATCTATAAAAGAAAATACAAGGCATAATTCAAATAAAACTAAAAAAAAAAAAAAAAAAAAAAAAATTATTTTCAAACGCGCTCTTTTTACGTAAAATATGAAATGCGGAAATGGCTTATAAGCACAAAAAAAGAAAAAAAAAGAGCAGATGAAGCAGAAATATTATAGCACGTAATATATACTTATAAGTAAAAGCGCTGTTATAGGAAATCAGCGATTTTAATGTGTACTCTGAGACTATACGTACACATTTGCCAACGGGCGACACTGCCGCCTGCAACATTCATGATCAATTTAGATTTTTCTAATTGAATGTAGCAAGAAAGGAATAGTGAAAAAAGTAGAAGAATCTTTAGATTAAAATTATATATATAAATCAAAAAAAAAAAAAAAAAAAAAAAAAAAAAAAAACTATTTGCACAAGCATACTTAATTCGTAATATGTGAATGTGTGTGTATTGTATGTATATATATCATTTGAAAATAATTCGCACAAAAAAAATACACACAGAAAAGAAACGTTTTTATAAAAATTGTAATCAATTGTAAGCAATCTTTATTTGAAAAAGTTATTTCGTAATAAAAGGACGGTATTCGTATTTCCCATATATCCGCGCATGTATTGGTGTCAATCTGAGAGTGTATGTGTGCATGTAGAGTATTATTGTTAGTCTTTTATAAATAAAGATAGTGCAAGTTGTGCGGTCTATAAAGAATGTAATTGCATCTCTATGATAAGGAATGTCAATTATGTTGTAAAAAAAATACTGTTAGTAAGATAAAAAATATGTAAAAAGGACGGGCCATCTCTGGCAGCATTTTCATCTCCGCGAGTCGCTACTTTACTTCATTTTTTTTTTGGTACGATTTTAACGTTTAAAAAAACGCAGATCAATGAAAAACAATTTAATCCATACGCCGTGTCGAATAAAAAGATCAAAATGAAGTATTTGCGTACGTGAAAAATATTTTCATCCGCATAAGTCTCTCTAATTGAGAGAATTTAAATCGTGAAATGATCTATAATAATAATAATAATAATAATAATAATAATAATAATAGTAATTTACATTTAGATAATAAGAATCGGATAAGATTGCATAAACCTTCGCATCGTCCCGCGTTACCGCCTCTTGAATTCTCACATTTGCAACGGAAGTATACATCTTTTGGATAAACATACGTGCGTTAATATTGGAAAACGATTTTCAGATTGACGATCTGTTTACGCGTGAATCTTTTGCAAGAAAAAAAAAAAAGTATAAATAATCATCAAATTCCACCGAAAGGGTCTTCGAACAATTTTTCACGGGATTTCCTGATATTTCGATAAACATCGAGCATTGCCTTTTGATTTATCGTGATGTTTTCTTGTGATTTATCGTTCGCGTGAAATACGTCTAAAAATATACAAGAGCGTATATAAGTAAAAAATTAAAATTTGACTTTATATTTTCGAAATTATCGATAGAAGAAAGGATTGAGAGACAGAATAATCTGCCGGATCCCCGCGCGTGAATTTTTGACTCGCGAAATTTATGCAGGCGACATATTTTATAATCTTCCTCTCGGCGGCCGTGACTCTAATTATAGATTCGGCCTGACGCAAGGTGTTGTTCGCCCGTTCTATTTTCATCCGAATATAATCGTGTCGCGAAAATTATCGCGAAAACCAACCGGAGATATACGTGCAAACGGAGGAGATGCGCACCCACGTCTCGCGTCTTGTGTTTTGACGCGAAGCGGTATTTCGACATCCCGGACGTTCAACACTCGCGGCTGTAGCTATAAAGAAAGGGGTCTTTCTCTCTCTCTCTCTCTCTTTCCATCCCACGCATCGATCCACCCACGTGTACGTAATCTCTCCCTCTCTTTCCTCGGCTCTTCCTTTTTCTCTTCCCATTACCTCGACTATTATGGCTAATGAAAGTTTCCACTGTTGCAGGTCTGAGGAAAGTGCGACCTACATCTCGGAGGTAGGGGGACATATGTATGTACATACTGCGACATTAATCAACTCTTCCGTACGATCACCGGAAGTACAATCCGCGTATGTATATAAATATATACATATACGTGTGTAAGAGAAAAGTAAAGTGATCTGATGATGAGAAAAAACAAAACCGATGTCGATCGGTGCGGCGTCAGGTACACAGGACGAGGCGCGCAGGCACAACACCGCTGCTGCTACAAAACCGAGTGAAAGCTCTCCGAACTGACATCCGAGAGAGGAGACACGTATATAAAGGTACGTATTTTTTCGCCGCGGGTTTTTACCGCACGCGGTACAAAAAAAAAAAAAAAAAAAAAAAAAAACACCAATTAAAAAAATTTTTGAAGAAAAAA